TTAAGGCGCACCCTCAAATTGTATCAGAACATGTAATTTTGGTGAAAAAAATTATTAGGATTATCTCAAAATCTATCTTTCTATCTAATTATAAATTTTAAAACTCCAAAAATGGTTAAAATCAAGTAGATCTATAAATATATGAAAACCTTGAAAATGGACGGTCTAGATAATGTATTGCAAGATGCACTATTTTTGGGTCTCAAAATCTTTTTTTTTTTCCATACTCATTCATCTCGATGTCGAGATGACCAATTAGAGGTCTTTTAACATTAAAACAACCTTTTCCAATGGATTTTTGAGGTGCATCTGTAATTCTACATTTTACGGTTGCAACCTTATATAAACTTTTTCCTATGACGAATGGATACTTCTATACGTGTCATGTTCTGGTGTCGCATGTCCCGAGTATAGTAAACGTAATATGAATAAAATACAATCTTGCACTTTATCATGTGGTATATATGAATATTAAAGTGTTGCATGCATACATGTCTTACATTATACAAGCTGTAAATATATTAAGGGAAATTTATCAAAATACACCTAAACTTTGAGCTATTTAATATTTTACCCATTAATCGAAATACACCTAAACATCACTATTGTAATTCATGATTAGTGTCATTTCATGAGCTTTTTGAATTTTAATAAAAAAAATTGGGTAAGTTGTTAAATAGTTAATGTGCTAGGTGCATTTTCATAAATCTCCATATATTAATGGGTTGGTGGAGCTTCCACATGATGTGGATGCTCAAAAGTTGCACAAGCACCGTCCAACAGTTTAGATTAGAAGGGAAGAAAAATATATACTTATAATTCCATGTGGTATTTTTATTTTTATTATTTATAAATATTGGATTGACATGAAGTTTAAAGGTGTGTGCATCCCATAGGCGCACCTAAAAAATATAAAATTAAATTGACCAAAATACCCCTGAATGTTTTAGGAATATTTTGGACATCTTATTTATCACAAATTATTTTTTATATTTGGTTTAGGTGTACCTGATTGACCAGTGTGGACTCCCAAAATTTCAAGTTATTGTAATTTTCATTAAGAATATATATAAAGAATATTAAAACTAAAACACTTCTTACAATTGTGGCTCTCCATTTTTACCCTTTCAATCTGAACCGTTTGGAGGGTGCTTGTGCACCATTCATATGTCGACACGATGTGAACACTATACTTTTCTTATATTAACAGATGTGTCTGATAGTATAGGGCACTTGTATCCACATCCGTACCTTGATTTTCAAGAAATGCCAAGTTGTATCCCTGATCTCTGTATCAGGGTCCATATATGGGCATCTTAGCCTTCAACCTCCATCAGAACCCTACATGGATGTCTCTCTTCAAACACCAGCATATGTTAAAGCCATAACTCAGCTCTTTCTTCAACGAATTCTCATGGAGTTTGTTTTGCTTTGTTTCTTTGCCAAGTAACACTAGCAATCCCATGCAATAAAAATAAAACAAAAATCACTAAACCACATGTCGAAACTCGAAGTGAGAGTAAAATCCCAAAAGCCCAAAACCCCTCCATTGAACCCTACATTAGCCAAGCCATAGCCCTAACATTATCACCATATATTGGCAAGCGAATGGATCTTAAAGAGAATCCACTCTAGACCAAACATCCACACTCTTTTAGGACTCCTACTAAGCTTACCAACTCAAACAATCTGCCATGTTAGTCATAATTTTCTATAGAGCCTTCCATGGAAAAACAATTGACTTCTAATAGGAATACCAAGAAAATAATCTCCTCACTTAAGAGGGAACAATTTTGAACTGCTTACATCATGGCAGTTGCTTGCCTTTCTCTCACTATAGAAGTCATCCATTCTAGACAGAATATCCTTTTCCCATGCATATTTTTAGGGCATGTTTGTTTTGCTGGAAATTTCCCTCGTGAAGGCAGTGGACTCTAGCACCTGGTAAAGCACAACAGTATGCCAAAAGCATGCTGCTAATGTATTTTCCTAAGAAAGCGCTTTCATGAGAAAATAGGTTCAAAGCGCTTTATCATGTGGTGGAGCTTTATATGTCCCCATTTACATGCTCATTTTTTAGTATAGGTTTCATGCATCTTCACCGATTTCGCATTCCTCAGCAGATTCCCCAAAGAGTTAATGTAAGGTCAGTTGTCAATAGACTCTAATCCTCACCCTATGGGAAGTGATGCAGCGGGGGAGAGAAATTAAATCACCCAGGCCATCACCGCCACAAAATGTGGAACTCTTCTGAAAATTGTAAACAAGCAAAAGGTCTCATATTATGTTTTCCCCAACGCTTTTTCCAAAAATCGTGGCACACCCCAACATAAATCCAATCCAATACAGAAAGTTCAACCCTATCTTAAGAAAAGGTGTACATTACTAACTAACCCTTGTCCACAATAAAAAAATTCCCCTCTAATCCCTCTACAATATGGACCCTAAATATACTTACAATAAAATAATTACAGTCATGCCCCTGAAATGCAATTAAAAGAGAAAAAAAAAGCACTAACCAGCCATCTCCTGATTATAATTTGCATATCCTCCATGGGTTGGAGAAAACTCGTCTTCGAGTTCCGATGTGGACCGTAGGTACCAAGATCATCTCATAGGTAGCTCTCCGGCTCCATAATCCAGTTCTCACGATCCGAAATGTGGATGTCAATCCCCTAGGTAGCTCTCCGGCTCCATAATCCAGTTCTCACGATCCGAAATGTGGATATCAATCCCCTTTCTCATGGATCTTGGTTTCCTTTTCTTAGGGATCTCGATCTAGATACACAATGCATCTCGATCTTGAGTCTCATGGGAGCCAAACTCCAAAGCATCTTATATGAGGGGATTATTACACCAGACCAAGGTCCCATCAAAAAGGGATTGATGATCCATTAACAGGGGCTTGAGGTTAATGGACTGAAATTTTATTTTGGTATATTTTTTGGGATTGGAAAGTTGGAGCAAAAATCTTGAGTTATGAACAAACTCACAAAGTACTAATGTGTCTTTTGCAGGTAATAACGAGGATAAGAATAAGGTTATAAGGCACAAGCGGCAGGCAGCGATACAGAATGAAGACTGCAAGTTATTGATCCTAGGAGGGACAATGCAAAATTCATCATTATCATCAAAGCCTTTTCCCAACTAAATGGGGTTGGCGAGGACAATGCAAAATTCAAATAAATAAATACAATTAATATCGTCCAAGCTGGGAAAATTGTAAATAACTAAAGGATGATCTTTGTATAAGGTGCCCACCATATGCTATACAATTGAGGCACAACTCTAAATTTTGACGGAAGATGTAGTTCCAATGTCATAAACCCTATAATGGCTTGAAAATCCATATTTAATCCTAATTATGAAATTCAAATTTCCAAAAATAGTGCAGATCGACCAAATCTATAAACACTTGAAAATCTTGAAAATAGACAGTGCAGATAACTTGTTACAAGATGCACTATTTTTAAGACTTGAATTTATTTTCTTTATATCCATACATCTTGAGGTCGAGATGATCAATTGGAAGGTTTTCCAACTTTAGAACACTCGTTTCTACTGGATTTTGAGGTGCACCTTACTTCTATAATATAAGGTTGCAACCTTATATAAACTTTTTCCATAACTAAATATAATACACTAGTTATGCAATGTAGTCCTAAAGTCCTACTTCCTGAACTTGAGTTTTGAAAAACCGCTGCAGGTGCTGAACTATGAATCTCAAACATGCTCAGCATCCCCTTTTCATGACATAAAATCCTCTTCCAACTATCAAGCTAAGGTTGCTAAGCTCTAAAACATTGGCAGGAACATACTACCTTTGCGATAAGTTTGCTTTCACTAATTCTAGGACTCAAGACTCAAGGCAAGACTCGAGAGTATGTCTGCGCCTCTGTGATATGTACAGTAGATAAGTCGGTAGTCAAGTGACTCCATGAATTTCAACTTTATAATTACTAGATCTTAGACGGTATCCCGATAGAGGTTTGGAAGATAGGAAAGACTTTAGGACCATATGGTATCCCGATAGAGGTTTGGAAGATAGGAAAGACTTTAGGACCATATGGTGTCCCGATAGAGGTTTGGAAGTGCCTGGGGTAGATTGGCATTGACTGGCTGACGAAGTTGTTCGATAAGGTGTTGAGAACAAAGAAAATGTCAGATGAATGGAGGAAAAGTATTGTGATACCGATTTACAAGAACAAAGGAAACATACAAAATTATGCGAACTATCGAGACATCAAGCTTATGAGCCATACTATGAAGCTCTGGGAGAGAGTGATTGAGCAACGACTAAGACATGAAACAAGTGTATCTGAAAACCAATT